GGTAAAGTGCTTCTGTTTCCAACCAAGACGGAGACAAGCTTTGTTAAACTCACTCCTGAAAAGCCCCTGAGTCTCTCAGCATTTACTCTCTGCATGCGTGTGCGACGGAGCTCCAGGGCGAGAGGGAGATCATTCTGTTCGCCTACCGAACATCCAGCGTCGACGAGCTCAACGTGTGGAGAGATAAAAATGGCCGCTTTATTTTTTATATTCAGTCTAGTACTAATGGAGTGGTTTTCCACCTGCCTCCTCTCTCCACGTTCCAGACTCACCTGTGCGTCACCTGGGAGTCTGCGACCGGTCTTGTTGCTTTTTGGGTGGATGGACGGCGCAGTGCGTTCCAGATCTATAAGAAAGGTCAATCAGTTCGTCCTGGCGGCACCGTTCTGCTCGGCCAGGACCCTGATAAATATGTGGGTTCCTTTGACGCAGAGCAGAGTTTAGTAGGTGAAATTACAGATGTGAACATGTGGGATCATGTTCTCTCTGCCATTCAGATTAAGGCGGTTTATTCTAACCAGGAACCGTATGTGCCGAAGGGAAACGTGTTTGACTGGAACACCATCAAATATGAGACCAGAGGAAATGTGCTAGTGGTTGAAAATAAGTGATTCAGATCTGATTCCTCCACACAATCTTTATGATCTGTTAATCTGTTTTAATGAGTGACGAAGCTGTAAGGGTTAACCAATAAATATTCTCAGCATTACAACTGCAGTGTCTGTGCATCATTTGGAAGAGTTGAATGTTGAAAGTTGAAATGTTGAATGTCTTAGTGGTCTATGTATTAAATTAGCATATTACAGTACCACTCAAAAGTTTGGACCATATTTTATTGTTTTTGAAAGAAGTCTCTTACGCTCACCAAGGCTGCATTTATTTGATCAAAATACAGAATAAAAAAGTTATATTGTGAAAATATTATTAGAATGTAAAATAATGATTTGCTATCTTAATATACTTTCAAATTTAATTTATTCCTGTGATCAAAGCTGAATTTTCAGCATCATTACTCCAGTCCAGTGTCACATGATCTTTCAGAAATCATTCTTATATGATGATTTGATACTGAGTAATCAATATTGGAAACGGTTAGTAATTGTATTAATTGTTTTGGAACCTGTTTTTTCAGAATTAAATGATGAATACAAAGTTAAAAAATATTTATTTAAAAAAAGCATTTATTCAAAATAGATTCTTCTATCACAATACAAGTCTTTACTAACACTTTTTAAAATCAGTTTAACATATCATTGCTGAATAAAAGTATTAATTTCTTTAAAAGAAAGACAAAATGACTGACCCCAAACTTTTGAACGGTAGAGTATAATGTTACACAACATTTCCATTTTAAATAAATTCTGTTCTTTTTATTCATCAAATAATCCTGGAAAAGAGATAAAAAAATATTAAGCAGAACAACTGTTTCCAACATTGATAATAAATCATGGTAACACTTTATTTCGATAGTCCACTTTAGACATTCTACTAACTATAAGTAACTTTTCAACTACATGTCAACTAACTGTCATTAGAGTATTAGACTGTCAGCTTAATATCTGCTAACACTTTATTTTGTTGGTCCCCCAACAGACATTCAACTGACGACAAGTAAACTTATTCTCCTAACCCAAAGCCTAACACCTAGACATAACCAAACAGTCTACTGTAATATACGAATACTCTAATGACAGTTAGTTGACACGTAGTTGAAAAGTTACTTATAATTAGTAGAACGTCTAAAGTGACTATCGAAATAAAGTGTAACCAATTGTTTTAGCAATGAATGGTAGGAGAGAGACTGAGACAGGTCTGTAGTTTACTAAGAGAGATGTGTTCAGTGTTGTTTTTTTTAAGCAGTGGAGTTACCCGAGCCTGCTTAAATGCTGGAGGGAAAATGCCAATGTGGAGGCATGAGTTTATGATGTGTGTGAGAGCTGGAAGAAGTGTAGGAGAGATTGCTTGGAGCAGATGTGATGTGATGGGATCAAGAGGTCAGGTGGTAGGATGACTGGAGAGAAGCTTAGATACTTCTACCTCGGTTAGTGGTGTGAAGGAGAAGAGAGGGTTGTTGGCTTGGGGAGAGGGTAGTCTGGGATCCTGTGTGTGTGTGATGCTGAGAACTGACTGCTGATAGGTGTAGTTTTGAATGTTTGATTAGAAGTCTGTCAAGAATTGTTTTGGGATGATTTTAAGTGTAAAGTCTCAGTCTCAGTGGTTTAAGAGATTTCAACCATGGGGTCATTCAGAGGAGGAGGTCTGTCTTGGGATCAAACAACCTCTGCTGTTGTCTTGGTGGGTCCTGAGCCGTGCATCTCTGAAACAATCAGTCTTTTTCCAAAATATCTAATGTTGACGACGTTCTCCTTTAGTTGGGCACATCTCTTTGAAGCTTTAGAACTGGCTGGAGCCCACTCCATTTATGGCCCGAAATTAGACTGGTGTTTGGTGGTCTTGAATGTTGAGTTTTTGTGTGGAATTATGTTCAATTGAATCACCTGGAAGATTCATTTGTGTCTGGTTCGTCCTCAATTCCTACAAATAGCACTGAATGTCTGCGTTTCAGATTTGGGTTTTGCCTGTGCAGATTGCATTTATAGTTAGACGTGTAACCAAGAGAGTTGTCTATGGGTGAAAAACAAGCAATTGTTAAACTGAGAGAAAATCCATCAGAGCCATTGCACAAACATTGGCCATAGCCAGTACAACCATTTGGAACGTCCTGAGGAAGAAAGAAACCACTGGTGTATTAAGTAACAGACCTCCAATGGGTAGACCAAGGAAAACGTTCATGTAAGTCCATGTGTGGTCAGTTTCTGGCTAGATTCCACATACGCATCTGTATCCAATGGATAACAAATAGACTTCACCATCCAAACACAGAGGCCCTTCCTAATAAACAACAGATGTGGCCAGTACATTCACACAGGACATAGAACAACTGGGTTAGGAAAAAAGGCTCATACGTGAATCTGGGCTGAACCCAATCTGTAGATAAATACTCGAGACACTTCTAGTCACGACCATCTGTGAGACGAACATCTGACCTACTCTCTGAAAACACCAGTTGAACATCGTAAGTATTTGAAACCTTTCGTGTCTTTGTCTCTTTTATGTGATTAAACACTTAGTAGTAATAAACTGTTGTAATTTAGTGTTAAAAACAATGAAGCGGTGAAGAATTTGTCTGCTAAATGGAGTAACGGATTTCCTTTTGCACTTTTTCCTCCAGACCTGCAGCAAGATGTTGCTTTTATTTTTCTGTCTGCTTTCTCTGACGGCAGCGGCGACTGAAGGTACCGCATTTTACACGATTAGGTTTCACGGATTTGTATGAGTAGGATTGTGTGTATAGTAAAATATGGTTTATTTTGTGTGTTATCTTGCAGTGGGTCTCGGCGGTAAAGTGCTTCTGTTTCCAACCAAGACAAGCTTTGTTAAACTCACTCCTGAAAGGCCCCTGAATCTCTCAGCGTTTACTCTCTGCATGCGTGTGACGATGGAGCCCCAGGTCGGGCGGGATATCATTCTGTTCTCCTACCGAATATCTTATACCGCCGAGCTCAACGTGTGGAGAGAGAAAGATGGCCGCTTTTCTTTTTATATTCAGTCTAATAATGAAGGAGCATTTTTCAACCTGCCTCTCTCCACGTTCCAGACTCACCTGTGCGTCACCTGGGACTCTGCAACCGGTCTTTCTGCTTTTTGGGTGGATGGACGGCGCAGTGCGTTCCAGATCTATAAGAAAGATAAGTCAGTTCTTCCTGGTGGCACCGTTCTGCTCGGCCTGGACCCTGATGAATATGTGGGTTCCTTTAATTCAAGGCAGAGCTTTGTTGGCGAAATTACAGATGTGAACATGTGGGATTATGTTCTCTCTGGCAGTCAGATTAAGGCTTTGCATTTAAACCAGGAACAGAATATACCGAAGGGAAACGTGTTTGACTGGAACACCATCAAATATGAGACCAATGGAAATGTGCTAGTGGTTGAAAATAACTGATTCACATCTGATTTCTCCACACTGTTGTGTCAGTCGTTATGATCTGTTCTAATGAGTTTCAAAGCTTGTAAGGGTTAACCAATAAATATTCTCAGCATTACAACTGCAGTGTCTGTGCATCACTTGGAAGAAAGAGTTGAATGTTGAAAAAGGGGGTTTAGTGGTCTATATATTAAATTTGCATTTTACAGTGCCAGTGAAAAGTTTGGACACTATTTTTAATGTTTTTGAAAGAAGTCAAGTCCAGTCACATTTATTTATATAGCGCTTTTAACAATACAGATTGTATCAAAGCAGCTTCACAGTGAAAACATGAAAATAATACAACACAGATCAATAATATTGTTGAATATTAAATGTCCCCAACTAAGCAAGCCAAAAGCCAAGGCAAAACAAAACAAATTGGATGGAAACATTAAGAGAATTTGTCCATTTCCATCTGTTTGTAAGTCGAAGTAATCATTCACGCCGGTTTGGAGACGAGATGTTGAGGATCAGTGCCGATGGCTGTCGTGTCGATGAGGCCGGCACTTCAGGATGAGTCGGGATGGGTCCAGGCGCAGGTCCACCATAGAGGGTCCCTCGGGTTAAACAGAGAAACTAATATTAGCGTAGACGCCATCCTTTTGATGTACCAAGTACATCAGGATTTACGGGACGTGTTCCCGGTTCAGGCTGATCTAAACTATGCAGCCTAATTTTGAATTTAGGAAGTCTATAGTGTGTTGTGTATGCTTGGCCAAAGAGATTTGTTGGCTTTTTATGCCAACACATAAGTCTCTTATGCTCATCAAGGCTGCATTTGTTTGATCAAAAATACAAAAAATGCTAATATTGTGAAATATTACAATTAAAAATAATGCCATTATCTTAATTTACTTTAAAATATTGTTTATTCCTGCAGTGAAAGCTGAACTTTCGGCATCATTACTCTGGTCTGCAGTGTCACATTACAGTTCTCATTCTAACAGGAGAACATTTTTTAAAAAGACATTTTTATTTTTTTCGTAATAATGTCTTAGTTTTTCAATATAAAGACTGAATCGTATGTGGCGAGTTGGTGAATTTTTACTTAAGTAGGACCTCTAAAAGATTACAGTTATTTCGATAATTTGATGAATATTTTGTCCTGGAAAATAGGAAAGACAATGAACAAAACGTGGTAATTTGATAATGGTTTTGCTCTCCAGATAGGTTACACTACAGCTTGTTCAGAACAACAGGACATACATAAAGGAACACATTTGAAAAGAGCTTCTTTGCTAAATATCTCAAATTGCAGGCGTCTTTGGCTCTAAATTATTGACTGGTTTCTTGCAAAAAGGTACCATTCATATTTATTTATTTATTTTTTTGGTAATGTGTTTATGACAACATGATATTCTATGGAATTACATTTGTGTCAATAATAATGTAATAAAATATAATAAATATAAATATATAATAAATATAAATATATATAATAAAATAACTAAAATTTTCAGAAACTATCAAAAATATTCCATTACAAAAGAAGAAAAATACAATTAAAATGAAAATTTTTTTTTACTCAGTCGCATGAAATTCAACCCCCTCAGACTTGAATTATGTTTCAAATTTCTGAAAAATAAAAATAAAAATAGTGGGATATTGGACAAATAGTGGGTTTCTGGACATGTGGTTTTTAAGCTTAGCTTTCAAAATTTTGGGATGAAAACCATTTTACTGCACTCAGGGAGGCCCCCTGAGTCTGTGGCACCAAGGGCCGTCCCGAAATTCCACCGTCCGCAAACCCACTATTTTTATAATGGGATAAGTGCTACGTGGGATCTCAAGATTTCAGCTCTGGAAGGGTCTAGAGACTTTTTTGCACTCAGGTCTAAGTCTCATGGCCCTCTATCAGAATCCAGAGTTTCAAGAAAATCAGAGAAACCCGGGGGAGGCTCGAAATTTTTTTTCGGTGGGGGGAATTTTGAGTTTCTCCAATCTTCTCAAAACTCTGGATTCTGATAGAGGGCCATGAGACTTAGACCTGAGTGCAAAAATGGAGTCTCTAGACCCTTCCTGAGCTGAGATATTGAGATCCCATGTAGGGCCGTCCCGAAATTCCACCGTCCGCGAACCCACTATTTTTATAATGGGATAAGTGCTACGTGGGATCTCAAGATCTCAGCTCGGGAAGGGTCTAGAGACTCAATTTTTGCACTCAGGTTTAAGTCTTATGGCCCTCTATCAGAATCCAGAGTTTTGAGAAGATTGGGGAAACTTAATTTTTTGCCCCAAAAAAAAACAAAACGTAAGGGGTAACACTGTCGTTTTTTTTTCCGGGTCGAATTTTTGAGTTTCGATATCTCAGCTCTGGAAGGGTCTAGAGCCTCCATATTTGCACTCAGGTTTAAGTCTCATGGCCCTCTATCAGAATCCAGAGTTTTGAGAAGATTGGGGAAACTTTTTTTTCGCCCAAAAAAAAAACGTAAGGGGTAACACTGTCGTTTTTTTTTTTCGGGTCGAATTTTTGAGTTTCGATATCTCAGCTCTGGAAGGGTCTAGAGCCTCCATTTTGCACTCAGGTTTAAGTCTCATGGCCTTCTATCAGAATCCAGAGTTTTGAGAAGATTGGGGAAACTTTTTTTTCGCCCAACAAAAAAAAAAAACGTAAGGGGTAACACTGTCGTTTTTTTTTCGGGGTCGAATTTTTGAGTTTCGATATCTCATCTCTGAAAGGGTCTAGAGCCTCCATTTTTGCACTCAGGTTTAAGTCTCATGGCCCTCTATCAGAATCCAGAGTTTTGAGAAAATTGGGGAAACTTAATTTTTCGCCCAAAAAAAAAAACGTAAGGGGTAACACTGTCGTTTTTTTTTTTCAGGTCGAATTTTTGAGTTTTGATATCTCAGCTCTGGAAGGGTCTAGAGCCTCCATATTTGCACTCAGGTTTAAGTCTCATGGCCCTCTATCAGAATCCAGAGTTTTGAGAAGATTGGGGAAACTTAATTTTTTGCCCAAAAAAAAAACGTAAGGGGTAACACTGTCGTTTTTTTTTTTGGGTCGAATTTTTAAGTTTCGATATCTCAGCTCTGGAAGGGTCTAGAGCCTCCATTTTTGCACTCAGGTTTAAGTCTTATGGCCCTCTATCAGAATCCAGAGTTTTGAGAAGATTGGGAAACTTAATTTTTCGCCCAAAAAAAAAAACGTAAGGGGTAACACTGTCGTTTTTTTTTTCGGGTCGAATTTTTGAGTTTCGATATCTCAGCTCTGGAAGGGTCTAGAGCCTCCATTTTTGCACTCAGGTCAAAGTCTCACAGCCCTCATAATCCAGAGTTTTGAGAAGATTGGAGAAACTTATTTTTTCGCCCGAAAATGAAAAAAAACGAAAGGGGTAACACTGTCGTTTTTTTTCGGGTCGAAATTTTGAATTTTGATATCTCAGCTCTGGAAGGGTCTAGAGCCTCCATTTTTGCACTCAGGTCAAAGTCTCAAAGCCCTCTATCATAATCCAGAGTTTTGAGAAGATTGGAGAAACTTAATTTTTCGCCCGAAAATGAAAAAAAACGTAAGGGGTAACACTGTCGTTTTTTTTTCGGGTCGAAATTTTGAGTTTCGATATCTCAGCTCTGGAAGGGTCTAGAGCCTCCATTTTTGCACTCAGGTCAAAGTCTCACAGCCCTCTATCATAATCCAGAGTTTTGAGAAGATTGGAGAAACTTAATTTTTTGCCCAAAATGAAAAAAAACGTAAGGGGTAACACTGTCGTTTTTTTTTCGGGTCGAAATTTTGAATTTTGATATCTCAGCTCTGGAAGGGTCTAGAGCCTCCATTTTTGCACTCAGGTCAAAGTCTCACAGCCCTCTATCATAATCCAGAGTTTTGAGAAGATTGGAGAAACTTAATTTTTCGCCCGAAAATGAAAAAAAAAACGTAAGGGGTAACACTGTCGTTTTTTTTTTCGGGTCGAAATTTTGAATTTTGATATCTCAGCTCTGGAAGGGTCTAGAGCCTCCATTTTTGCACTCAGGTTAAAGTCTCATGGCCCTCTATCAGAATCCAGAGTTTTGAGAAGATTGGAGAAACTTAATTTTTTGCCCAAAAAAAAAAACGTAAGGGGTAACACTGTCGTTTTTTTTTTCGGGTCGAATTTTTGAGTTTCGATATCTCAGCTCTGGAAGGGTCTAGAGCCTCCATTTTTGCACTCAGGTCAAAGTCTCACAGCCCTCTATCATAATCCAGAGTTTTGAGAAGATTGGAGAAACTTAATTTTTCGCCAAAAAAAAAAACCTAAGGGGTAACACTGTTGTTTTTTTCGGGTCGAATTTTTGACTTTCGATATCTCAGCTCTGGAAGGATCTAGAGCCTCCATTTTTGCACTCAGGTTTAAGTCTCACAGCCCTCTATCATAATCCAGAGTTTTGAGAAGATTGGAGAAACTTAATTTTTTGCCCAAAAAAAAAACGTAAGGGGTAACACTGTCGTTTTTTTTTTCGGGTCGAAATTTTGAATTTTGATATCTCAGCTCTGGAAGGGTCTAGAGCCTCCATTTTTGCACTCAGGTCAAAGTCTCACAGCCCTCTATCATAATCCAGAGTTTTGAGAAGATTGGAGAAACTTAATTTTTCGCCCAAAATGAAAAAAAAACGTAAGGGGTAACACTGTCGTTTTTTTTTCGGGTCGAAATTTTGAATTTCGATATCTCAGCTCTGGAAGGGTCTAGAGCCTCCATTTTTGCACTCAGGTCAAAGTCTCACAGCCCTCTATCATAATCCAGAGTTTTGAGAAGATTGGAGAAACTTAATTTTTCGCCCGAAAAATGAAAAAAAACGAAAGGGGTAACACTGTCGTTTTTTTTTCGGGTCGAAATTTTGAGTTTTGATATCTCAGCTCTGGAAGGGTCTAGAGCCTCCATTTTTGCACTCAGGTCAAAGTCTCACAGCCCTCTATCATAATCCAGAGTTTTGAGAAGATTGGAGAAACTTAATTTTTTGCCCAAAAATGAAAAAAAACGTAAGGGGTAACACTGTCGTTTTTTTTTCGGGTCGAAATTTTGAGTTTTGATATCTCAGCTCTGGAAGGGTCTAGAGCCTCCATTTTTGCACTCAGGTCAAAGTCTCACAGCCCTCTATCATAATCCA